TAGGGACAAAACAAGTCTGAGTAAATTTAAGAAAATCGCAATAATATTAAGTACTCTCTCAGACCACAGTGGAATAAAATTGGAAATCAACTCCAAAGGAACCCTCAAAACCATGCAAATACCTAGAAATTAAATAACCTACTCCTGAATGATCACTGGGTCAACAATGATATCAAGATTAACATTCAAAAATTCTTTAAACAGAATGATAATAGTGACACAACCTATCAAAATCTCTGGGATACAGCAAAGGCAGTGCTAAAAGGAAAGTTCATAGCCATAAATGTCTACATCAAAACATCTGAAAGAGCACTAACAGCCAATCTGAAGTCACATCTCAAAGACCTAGAGAAACAAACGAACTCATACCCAGCAGAAGAAAAGAAATAACGAAGATCAGAGCAGAATTAAATGAAATTTAAACAAAAAAATGCAAAAGATAAATGAAAACCTAGTTATCTGAAAAGACAAATAAAATTGATAGACCATGAGCAAGATTAACCAAGAAAAGAAGAGAGAAGATTCAAATAAGCTCGATTACAAATGAAACAGGAGATATTATTACTGATACTACAGAAATAAAAAATATTATTCAATTCTAGTATGAACTCCTTCACACACATAAACTAGGAAACCTGAAGGAGATGGATGAATTCCTGGAAATATATAATCCTCCTAGATTAAACCAGGAAGAAACAGAAACTCTGAACAGACCAATAACAAGCAGCGAGATTGAAATGATAATAAAAAAACTTCCCAACAAAAACAATCCAGGACCAGATGAATTTATAGCTGAATTCTATCAGGCATTCAAAGAAGAATTGGGACCAATCCTATTGACACTATTCCACAGGATAGAGAAAATGGGAATCCTCCCTAAATCACTCTATGAATTCAGTGTCACCCTAATACCAAAATCAGGAAAGGATATAACAAAAAAAGAACACTACACACCAATATCCCTAATGAACATAGATGAAAAAATCCTCATAAAAATACCAGCTAACCAAATCCAAAAGCATATCAAAAAGATAATCCATCATGATCAAATGTGTTTGATACCAGGGATGCAGGGTTGATTTAACATATGCAAGACAATAAATGTGATACAGCACATAAACAGAATTAAAAAGAAAATTCACATGATCATCTCAATAGATGCAGAAAAAGCGTTGGACATAATCCAGCATTCTTTATGATTAAAACCCTCAGCAAAATAGGCATAGAAGGGACAGAACTTAAAGTAATAAAAGCCATCTATGACAAACCCACAGCCAATGTTATACTGAATGGGGACAAGCTGAAAGCATTCCCCCTGAGAACTGGAACAAGACAAGGATGCCCACTTTCACCACCTCTATTCAGTGTAGTACTGGAAGTCCTAGTCAGAGCAATCACACAGGAAAAAAAAATAAAGGGCATCCAAATTGGTAAAGAGGAAGTCAAACTGTCACTATTTGCTGATGATATGATTGTATACGTAGAAACCCCTAAAGACTCATCCAAAGAAACTCTTACAACTAGTAAATAAATTCAGCAAGGTTTCAGGACACAAAATTAATGTTCACAAACAGTAGCTGTGCTATACACCAAGAGCAACCAAATGGAGAATCAAATCAAGAGCTCAACTCCTTTTATAATAGCTGCAAAAAAAAAAAAAAAAAAAAAAAGGAATATATCTAAATACGGAGGTGAAAGATCTCTACAAGGAAAAGTAAAAAACACTGCTGAAAAAAATCATAGATGACACAAACAAATGGAAACACATCCCATGCTCATGGATGGGCAGAATCAATATTGTGAAAATTACCATATTGTCAAAAGCAACCTACAATTTCAATGGAATTCCATCAAAATACCACCATCATTCTTCACATAACTAGAAAAAAAATCCTAAAATTCATATGGAACCAAAAAGAAGCCCACATAGCCAAAGCAATTACTAAGCAAAAAGAACAAACCTGGAGGCATCACATTACCTAACTTCAAACTATCCTATAAGGCCATAGACACCAAAACAGAATGGTACTTGTATAAAAATAGGAACATGAATGAAACAGAATCAATAACCCAGAAATAAAGCCAAACACTTATAGCCAACTGATCTTTGACAAAGCAAACAAACAAACAAACAAACAAAAACATAAAGGGGGAAAGGACACCATATTCAACAAATGGTGCAGGGATAATTAGCAAGCCACATGTTGAAGAATGAAACTGGATCCTCATCTCTCCCCTTATGCAAAAATCAATTCAAGGTGGATCAAAGACTTAAATCTAAGACCTGGAACCATAATGATTCTAGAATATATGATCAGAAAAACCTTTCTAAACATTGGCTTAGGCAAAGACTTCATGACCAAGAACCAAAAAGCAAATGCAACAAAAACAAAGATAAACAGATGGGACTTAATTAAACTAAAAAGCTTCTGCACAGCCGAATAAGCAATCAGCAGAGTTAACAGCCAATCCACAGAGCAGGAGAAAATCTCCACAACCTATACATCTGACAAAAGACTAAGATCCAGAATCTACAAAGAACTCAAACAAATCAGCAGGAAAGAAACAACAAATACCATCAAAAAGTGGGCTAAGGACATGAATAGACAATCCTCAAAAGAAGACAGACAAATGACTAACAAGCATATGAAAAATGCTCAACATCACTAACTATCAGGGAAATGCAAATCAAAACACAATGTGGTACCACTTCACTCCTGCAAGAATGGCCATAATGAAAAAATCAAAATAATAGATGTTGGCACGGATGTGGTAAAAAGGGAACACTTTTACACTATTGGTGGGAATGTAAACTAGTACAACCACTATAGAAAACGGTGTGGAGATTCCTTAAAGTACTAAAAGTAGATCTATTGTTTGATCCAGCAATCCCACTACTAGGTATCTAGTGAGAGGAAAAAAAGTCTTATGAAAAAGATATTTGCACACACATGTTTATAGCAGCATAATTTGCAATTGCAAAAATATGAAATCAGCCCAAATGCCCATCAATCAACAAGTGGATAAAGAAAATGTGATATATATGTATGTATGTGTATATATACATATATATACACCATGAAATACTACTCAGCCACAAAAAGGAACTAAATAATGGCATTCACAGCAACCTGGATGGAACTGGAGACTATTATTCTAAGTGAAGTAACTCAGGAATGAAAAACCAAACATTCTTATATTCTCACTCATAATTGTGAGTTAAGCTATTAACACACAAAGGCATAAGAATGATACAATGCATTTTAAGTATGATACAATTAATTTTGGGGACTTTGGGAGAAAGGCTGGGAGGGGAGTGAGGGATAAAAGATTACACATTGGGTACTGTGTACACTGCTTGGGTAATGGGTCCACAAAAATCTCAGAAATCACCACTAAAGAACTTATTCATGTAACCAAGCATCACCTGTTCCCCAAAAACCTATTGAAATATAAAATAAAATTTAAAAAAGAGACATTATTATAAAGTGTAGAAAAATATTTCATTAATTACTGATAAGCACATTCTCTTCCAATAGAATATAAGGATTAATTAAAATACTTTTACAAAAGAATTCTATTTATTTTAGCAAGTTATTGTAAAAAAAATGTTAAATGTTAGTTCTTTCCAAATAAATTTATAAATGCAACATAAAGTCAATTAAAATTCCAGTGAGAAATTGTAGACACAATGCTTTACAGTTCTTTCTTTACATCCACAGAACAGTGTTTAATCGATTTTTATGTGCCATATTCATTGCTGCAAAACTAGTGTCGAGAACATCTAACCACTCTTAAAAATAAATATCTCTCTGGATCAGAAACTGAACAGAAAGCTGGAGGTCGGGTCTCAACCTGTTGGCTGGTGGGTGCTGGGTTTAAATTCATAAATACAGCTGTGAATTTGACTACCCATCAAGTTACAATGAGTTTGCTGTAGTGGGAAAAAAGAAAAATAGATGCCTGGGGCCTTTTAACAGAGTACTGAAAACAGAATGGGATATGAGGACATCCATATAAGGAGGCACAGCACAGGAGCGGTGTGTGGAGAACGAATTGCCAGAAACTGGCTGGGAAATTAAAGATATAAGATTTTAGTTTGTGATATTGAGCCCAGTTTGCTGTTAGGGTAAACTTGACAGCACACAAATCAAAGAGCAAATTGAGCACAGAGAGGTTTAGAGCAGGTGATTACTTCTTGCAGTAGAGAGAAAAATCATTAACATTAGTCCTGATCAGAGCAGGGGAAAAGGGAAGACACGCTGCCATACAGGTGCAGAAAGGGGCATGAAGGCACCATGCCCTGAATGTTCCCAACCAAGCACACAGTTTAGAAGGAGATGAAGAATCCCTGTGAAACGGAGACTGAGGTAAGAGTGACATACAGGAGTGCATGAGTGCATGTTACCCACAGAGGCTATAGGGGTCATCCGGCCTCAGGCAGCCTCTGAGTGTGCAGGGTGTCCAGGGACCTCACGTATGTTAGAGCAAGGGTAATAAACATCTTGCCTACTCCTCTAGAGGCGGCTTTCTTGGTTTTTAATGTGTTCACTGCCCCACCCTGAAGGAGTCATGATCACCTGAAAGGGGAAGTCTGGGTGGTAAAAGGAGGGAAACCATCTGGCCACTTAGGCTGATGGGAACATCTGAAGCTTTATCCAGAGGATAATAAAGAAGAACCATCCCTTTGTCATTTCCTGCTCCCCTTAGTTCCATGTGCAGAGAGGAGCTGGGCACTTCCAATCCACTCTGATACATCCCAGGGAGGTCTGCCTTTGGCTGCTCTGTGCTAAGACCTCCTTGACCCTTTACTCCAGCTGGAAGTAATGAGCTCAGTTCATTCATATTTGGAAACTTTTCCCCCCTTCAAAGAAATTGGAAGGTAAATTTGGAGGAAAATGATGTTTTCAAATTTTATTCCACAGGACTGAGGGAATGCTGGGGGTTCTCTGGGCTTGTTATCTCTTTAAGCAGCAAACGTGATGAAATCTGGATCTTACCCCATGGGAGTCCTGATGATAGCATGTCCTGAAGTTGGAGAAACTTCACCATTCAGCATTTTGAAAGTCGTGCTCTTCCCAGCTCCATTCACCCCTAGAAGTCCAAAGCACTAAGAGGAAATAAAGTTAAGTAAAGCACACTCAAACAAGCTAAATAAATAGAACAAGTTAAATAAAATCAAAATTATATTAGAAACAGCACTTGCTTTTAGCCAACTCTGGGTTGACTTTGTTGGTTTGTGTTATTTGTGGAGTTTTAAAATGACAATATCGTATAAAACACTGTAGAGATTACAAAGTCCTCTCAAAATCATCATGGCACTTGAATGGTATAAGAATTTCAGCAGTAATTTACAGACAATAAATTCATGTGTGGAAAACTCAAGAGGATGAGAGTAAATGCCAACTATCCCAAATTATGCAGAGATAATATAATATTCTTTGGAAGTCACATCATTATAATTATTACTCTGATTTCATTTTTGTATATTTTAAAGTTTTTTTTTTTTTTTTTTTGAGACGGAGTCTTGCTCTGTCGCCCAGGCTGGAGTGCAGTAGCCGGATCTCAGCTCACTGCAAGCT